CACCCACCCCCTTGGTGGGGAAACTTGGGTCCTGATGCCCAGAGTCTTCCCCACCCTACGGTGTCCTCTGGATTTAGAGCTGTGAGCACTGTCCAAGCACCCTTCTTGCTGATACTGAGGAGAGGACCAGAAGAAGATCCAGTGCCTCAGTGCATCTCAGGTCTGGTATACCTGACAGTCCAGTCCACCCACAGCCCACACCAGCCTTGGCACAAAGCCCATTGCTCACCAGGGGCAGGAGAAGGGGTGGCAACAAATCCAAATCCAGCCACTCGAGGGGACTCCTGGGGAATGAGCTCCTTGCCGTCAGGGCCCACTTTGCCCTGTTTGTGCTGGAATGAGCAGAGAAGCTAGGGTCAGGGGGCTCTCTCCCCAGCAGGCTGACAGCCAGGTAGACAAGAACATGCTGCAAACACTTCTTTTCTCTAGGCAAAGCTGGGGCTTCTGGGCAGGCAGCCTTCTTGAGAAGAATGGGAAGATGGATCTCCACATCCACACAGACCTTCAGGCTCGTCAAAGTGAGTACCTAAGCAAAAGTAGCCCCCTCTTCCCATTCAGGGAAACCAGTGCTCACAACAGAGCCTGTACCCTGTCCCTTTCTCCTGAGGCAATGCAAGCTTCCCCATCTTCTACCTCTACCCTACAACCCTATGATCATCATCACTACTCCAAAGGTCAGAATCTCTCTGCTGCTGCCTAACCCCTATGCTGCAGCAGGCCATCCTCTATGGCCAAGTTTCTTTTGATCCTTACTGGTTTCCCTGACTGACAACCTGACTCTATCCACAGCCCTGCCTGGGGTGTGGGTACATATACAGCCAGACAAGGTTGGCTCCCTGCCAATGACCTGCCATCAGGGGAAGTGGCTCAGATCTGGGCCCCCAAAACATATCTGACCAAGACAGTACCCCAGTGAAAGCTTACACAAGCTGATCAATGACTCAGGGCCCTGCCACAAGGGGACTCAATCCTTCTGCCTACTGAGCTCCATCAAGCTCAACAATGCCCCTAGCTTTTGCATGTATCTATACACATGTATTTTTTTCTGTTACTGGGAATTGAATTCAGGACCTTGCTCTTTCCAGGCAGGCACTTATGCCACTGAGCTATCTCCCTGCCAGATAGTCCTAACTTTTAAGGGGTCAAGCATGATGAGAGAAGCCCTGCCTGCCCCCAGCCACCTCTGACCCTGTAAGCCTGGTGGCCCCATAGCTTTACCTGGGCATTGAGGGCTGCTGCTTGCTGGAGCTGGGACCTGCTCAGAGCCTGACTGAAGGGATCCCTAAGGAAGCGAGTGTTCTTATGCACCACTTGCCGGGGTTTCTTAAACAGCTGCTCTTCATCAGGGACACCTGGCAAACAAAGCAGAGATGGTACCAGTATTGGAATACTGCACAGGCCCTGCCCTAGCCATAGCAGGCCTGCAGCCTAGGGGATAAGACTATACTATTCCTCAGTCAAGTCACTCCCATCTGAACAGATACCTGCCCCCGACTCACATCACACCAGCACAGAGGATTCCCCCAAGGCCCATGCTCTGAAGGTCAATTCAAACAGAGCCACACCTAAGCATGACCCTTGTGTCGCCATCCTGCTACCCAGCCTACCCACTCACCCTCTGGATAGTACATGAGGGAGTTCTTGGCCTTGTACTTCCAGGTCTCCACGCCAGCCTGGCTGTTCTCAATGGCCTGGTGCTCTGCTGATGGGAGTTCAAGATTATCTTTCTGCCTCTACAATCACATGGGGGAAAGTGCAGGTGAGAGGAACCCCCAGGCACTAGCTATCCAACAGAGGATGCCAATGTCCCCAAGCTCCAGAGCTACCTTCTCAAACTCCTCTTCAGCCTGGTAAAGCCAGGCATGGCGGGCCCGGCTTTTCTCCTTGGCCACCTCCATGATTTCCTGGAAGGAGGCATTGTCCTCGCTTGTATAGCGGCTCAGGAAGACATCCAAGCTGGGCAGTGGCTCTTTCTCCTCCTCCTCTCCAGCCTCTCCTGCTCAGGGGTTGTAGGTTGGGGCGGGGGAGGAACACAAGTACCACACACAGCATAAATCCCACTTTGCAATCAGGAGAGGTCAGTACACCCATCCCTGGAAATCATACTACCCTACAAACAAGGCTAGAATTCTCACCCCTGCTAGAGGGCTCCCCAGGGGGCAGAATCAAGCCACGCCAACCATCCAGGGCACCCTGCAGCTGCCTCTTTTCATCTACCATGTACTAAGAGAACCATGTGTGTGACTGGTTAGGTGAGGTAGGGCAGATCCAGCCATTGAAGCAGGGGCTGTTGGTCATTAGAGTTTAGCAATCTCTTTTCTCCCAGAATTGTTCTAATTCTGTAGGGTCCATTGCCAAATCCCCAGAAAGCTCCTTCCCTCCTGGGATTTTCTCACCCTCATCACTTTTTCTTTTTCCTAGTATTTGGACTACAAGTGGGTGATTGTTACCTAAGCATCTAGACCTTTCAGCTAGCCCCTGTGGCAGGAACCCCAGCAGCACTCCTATTGAAGTGGTACCCTGGTGCTGCTGCAAATTTCATTGGGGCCATTTGAAAGAGTTTTTTTGCTGTTGTTGAGAGTCTTGTTATATTGTCCAGACACACCTTGGACTCCTGGGCTCAAGTGATCCTCCCACCTCAGCCTTCCAATTAGCTGAGACTATTGCTGGCACCAGATCCAACTTGGGGGAGATCTTTTACTTCCATTCTAATGACATTTTTTTTTTTTTTCAGACAAGGTCTCCCTATGTAATTCAGGCTGGCCCTGAATTTAATACGTAGCCTAGCACAGTAATCCTCCTGCTTCAGCCTCCTGAATGCTGGGATCAGAAGTGTGCATCACCCCTCCTGGCCTCTAGTAACAATCTTTTTTTTTTTTTTTTTTTTTTTTGCGGAACCAGGGATTGAACTCAGGCCCTTGCGCTTGCCAGGGAAGCGCTGATTCCACTGAGCCATCTCTCCGGCCCCTCTAGAAACAATCTTGACCACCTGATACGTGCTAGACTATGCACAGAGATAGTAAGTTCAAGATTGGGATCAAGGGCTGGCCAGATAGCTCAATGGACTAAAGTGCCTGCTTAGGCAGAACACAGTGGCTAGGGTTCAATCCCCAGTGTGCTGTGTCAGGCCCACCACCAGGGTGCAATGAGACTCAGGGTGCAATGGTGGCACATGCCTGTAATCCCAGCTCTTGGGAGGCTGAAAACAGAAGGATTACTGAATCTGATCTATGTAGTAAAACCCTGTAAACCTTGTCCTAAACACATTAAAAAAAAAAAAGAAAAAAAAAAGGCTGGGATCAATCAAAAAGGTAAAAATGGGCTGGCCAAATAGCTCAGTGGATTAAAGCACCTGCAAGTAGGAGCAGAGCTGGGGGTTCAATCCCCGAGCCTGCCATACCAGCCCCGCCCCTGGGGCACACTGAGACAGCAACTGAGACTGGGCATTGTGGCACATGCTTGTAATCCAGACTCTTAGGAGGCTGTAAACAGGTAGATCACTATGAGTCTGATCTACTAGTGAGACCCTGAACACCCTGTAGACTCGTCCCTAAAAAAAAAAAAAAAAGGTAAAAATTCAAGCCTCAACCACTGACCATCGCTGTTACTGCCTTTTATGTCCTCACTTTCCTCATTTGTAAACATGGCAGTAGTTCCTACCATCTAAGTTATGAAAAGAACTACACTTATTGGCACATGTAATGTTTCCATATAAAAAGAAAAGAATCAGATGGGCATGGTAGTGCACACCTATTACTCTGGGAGGAGAAAAGCAAGTTTGAACCCAGCCTGGACAACGTAGTAAGATCCTGTACCTGTATCAAAATAAAAAATAAAGGGAGCAGGGGAGATGGCTCAGTGCAATAAGTGCTTCCCTAGCAAGCGCAAGGGCCTGAGTTCCATCCCTGGTTCTGCCAAAATAAAATAATAATAAATAAAAAAAATAAAAAATAAAAAAGTCTGAGAATATACTTCAGTGCAAAGGCCCTGGGTCCATGCCTCATATGGAAAAAAGAAAAAGAACCCCCAAATTGCCCTGGAACTTATGCATTACATTTCAATAAAGACTCAAGCTCCAGAATGACAATGTGCTGATAGCAGGAAGAGCTGTGCTATGAAACAGAAAATAAATTTGAATGCAATGGACTGTGTTAGTATACCACACAATACATCAGAACCCAGTTGAAGCAAAGTATCTTGTCACCTCTGCCTACACTAATATCCTATTACTGAAGAAAAAAATCAAATCACCAAAAAGTTCTGTAATTTAAGGTACTCATATTTAACACAGCTTAGAATGTTCTTTCCTAAAAAGATTTCCTCCTAAAATCATGGCACATCCTGTGCAACCTTGTGTGTCTCATGTTCCAGTACATACTCGAAGACAACCATTTATGTGTTCTAATTACATCTGGTGAAGGCCCACATCATACCGCAGCACTGTTTCACAGGGAAACAACGGCTCTCATGAAGTGGATGCTAATTAGGGTGAGAGACAATAAGTCAAAATGCCTTTTTTAAAAATGTATTTGGTATAGGATCTCACTACATAGCTTGGAGTCCTAGTGATCCTCCTGTTTTCAGCCTCCCCAGTGCTGGGATTATGGGTGTGTACCTCTGGGGCTAGCCCAATGCACCTGGGGGGATCAAATCCTGGTCCCTGTGCTTGCCCAAGCAGGCATTTGTCCACTGAGCTATCTCACTGGCCCCAAAATGCCTTTTTAAATATCATGTCCTATTGAGGAAACAAAGCTAGCAAAAATCTGGCCAACTAATTAAGACCTATCTCAAAAAAACCCTAGGAGTTGGACCCAGATCTTCTTCCTCCTAGAACAATTCTCTCTGGCCTTACAAGTTGTTATTTAGGCAAAGAAATTCCTCGGGGACAAGATGTGTCCTGCAGCCTGTAGGCTGCCAGAATAAGATCCCATGGAACCAAGAGAGGGAATACTACTCACCATCCTCCAGGCCTCCGACCCTGGACCGGGGCTTGTTGCCAACTGCTGCAGTGCCTGTGTGTACCTCAGGAGTTTCAAATGTGGCTGGAGTCACATCTAAGGGAAGAAAGTTAGAAGTCAGAGTAAACATATGGTGATACTTGATGGACTTTCCTTTTTGCTACCCACACGGTCCTCTTACAAGGTGGCGGAGGTTCTCTGGACATCTTGCCCAGGGCAGAGCCAAATTTGATGGCAATCTGGCGCATCCGTTCCAAGTCTCCATTCTCCTCAGCCTCTAGATACTCTTTTTGAGCCTGTAGCTTCTCTACATCAGGAAAGAAATCCCTCTGGATGACGGTCTGGAGGCCCTGTCAGAGAGACCAGAAAAAAAATTAGAGCTTCCATTTGGATGCTCCCTTCATAGGCCACTACTAATGCCACTGGAGCGCCTTTCACTTCTGCCTGCCTCAATCACTGGGGCTTGCTTGAGAGAGCTTATGCACAATTTCTGGTAAGGCTGAACATCACATGCGGGCTAACCTTACTAAATACTCCTCTCGTGTCCATGAGTTCTTCTTCTCTCCCTTTGCTAACTGCTTATTCTCATCCTCCTTTGGTGGCTCCACACCAGCCAGGCAGGCCATGGGGTGTTGCCACTTTAATTCCACCCATAGTTTTTGCTTCCAATCTGAACAAAAGCCCTGCCATTTCTTGCTTTGGAGCTGCAAATGCTCACACCCAGCTAACAGTTACCGCTACTGATCTGTATATCCCAGAAATGTCTCATATTTAACCGATCTCTGTGCCAGCTCTTTCTCCTCCGGCGAGTTTGCGGCAGGACCAACCCTTACTTCCAGGGGTATCTGAAGCCCACTCAAAGATGCTGCCACAACTGCCACCTATTTCCAAAATTCCCAGCGTTTACACCAGCTGTTATCGCCATCCAGAAAGTCCCTTTTGTCACTATTTTTCAAATGCATCAAACTTCTATTCGTACTTCAAAATAGAAGCGTATTTACCTAACCCTCATCACTTATTGCCCTTTTGCTACCCTAAAAACATTGCTAGTGCCTCTCTAGTCAAGGACATCAACCTCTCCAGTTTGGTTGGCTCTTGGGACTATCCGCATCCCAACGGCAGGAATGCAGCTGTTCCACTCCCACGAGTAGACTAGACTGTCAAGATCCGAGAGAAAGGACCAGGGAGAAGCGCAACGCGAGAGAGACCCAGAAGCCCCCGGCGTTCGCCCTGAGGTGTACCTCAATATACTCTTCCTCATCCAGGACACGCTGCTTGCTCTTCGCAACCCCGGCCTCTCCAGCCGCGCGCTTTCTTGGGGGCCCTGACGCTGCAGGGAGCAACAGAGACCCGCCCGACGGGCCGGGAGTCCCCATCACTATCCCAGAACCACTTGCGCCGTTCCAAAGCACCGCAGGATATTGGGGCGGGGAAACTGTACCAATTGGCCGGCGCCTCCAATAGCCAGCCAATGGGGATGTAGTGTTTTCCTAATGCCAGCCGGCGCTCCATAATGACGTCACTATGAGCGCTTCCTCAAGGGAGTTGTAGTCTTTCTCGCGCCTTACACTGTTCACGTTTGTTTGGACTATGGACACGAGAGGGCGCTGTGTTGGAGGCCGTTTGATGTCATTCACATTGTCAATTTCCAGCACTTTGGAAATTTGAAAGGCCTTGAAATTTCAATTTCTAGATATAATCACAACGTGTGCTTAAATTTATTAAGAAAAACACACTCCAAAAATCTGGTTATATACACGTACCAAACTTTATGCAAGAATAAAACCCCAAGACAATTTTTTCTTGATAGCTATCCAACAAAAGATAATTCAAAGAACAAGACGATGGTTCAATAAAGAAATGTCTAATTAGAGATTATTTGGCCCCTAAATGCCAGACGGAGCTTCACAGAATAGGACCAATTCTCGCTGAAGTGGGACAGAACACTTCCTAAGCATTTTTTCAGGAATTTCTTCCCAAGAAGAGATTGCAAACTATTCAAACAAACAAATTCGGCCCCAGAATGATCTGATATAGTTTTGCTTTTACAATATGCAGTTATCCCTTCATCCATTAGGATCCACCGGGGACTCCAAGGTGACGTTCCTGCCTTCAGAGAACTGGAACAGACACTACAAAATCCAGTGGAGAAGACAGACACTACAAAAAAGTGTGAAATTGTCAGGTGTGGTGGCACGTGCCTTTAATCTCAGTGCTTGAGAGGCAGAGGCAGTAGAGGATTACCATGAGTTTGAGGCCAGCATGCACTACATACGAGACCCTTTCTTTCTTTTTTTTCTTTTTCTTTTTTTTTTTTTTTTTCGGAACCGGAGATTGAACTCAGACCCTTGCGCTTGCCAGGGAAGTGCTCATTCCACTGAGCCATCTCCCCGGCCCCAGTCCCTGTCTTAAAAAAAAAAAGTGCAAAATTGCAACCATGATGAATTTGTACTTGTGAATCTTGACCAAGAGGAGAAATTCACTGGAAATTTCTCCAGGCAGAAAGTAGTCAAAAATCCAAAAGGTGAATGGACAAGCATTGCTAAAATGAATGGTAGGAATATACACAAAATCTCAGTGGTGGCAAAGAATAGGGACGCTCCAAAGCAGGCTTTGGGATATACAGAGAACAGTGAGGTGTAAGATATGCTAGGGAGGCAAAGCCAGGTTGCTCAGGATTGTGTGGGTCCTGGAGAGGAGTTTTGTCTTTATTTTTTAATATTTATTTATTTATTTATTTATTTTAGGCCTGCTCAGCAGCTCTAGGGGCAGGGGTGACGTGGGATGTGGTGCCAAGGATCTGGTCCCTGCACTTCCCTAAGCTTGCCTAAGCAGGCACTTTAGACCACTGAACTATTGCACTGGCCCTTGTCTTTTTAAAAATTTTTATTATTTTTTTATTTTTTAGGGAAGGGTCTACAGGGTGTTCAGTGTCTCACTACTAGATCGGACTCGTAGTGATCTGCCTTTTACAGCCTCCCAAGAGCTGGGATTACAGGAACATGCTACCACGCCCAGTCTCCTTGTCGTTATTCTGAATTAAGGGGAAGCTGAAGGAAGTGCAGCCAGACAAGATGGAGACAGCTTAGGATGGTCAAGGTGAAAAATCACTGTAATTTACATCAAGCAAGTGTATCTGAAGTTAGAAACGGGGCCGGGGAAATGGCTCAGTAGAATAAGCATTTCCCTGGCAAGTGCAAGAGTCTGAGTTCAATCCCTGGTTCTGCCAAAAAAATAAAATAAAATAAATTCTGGGATTTATTGATAATGTATGAATTGCTGCTGTTGGTCTGGGTATGGTGTGTGAGTGACATGGAGCAGCTGAGTGATCACTAGCTCTGTTTATTCACCTGGCTTGCACAGGAGAGCTCACTGTGGACAAAGTAAACCTGGGAATACTGCACGCTCCCAGATGGAGTTCTGAGGGTCGATAGTTTGATGCAAACATCTAGTTCAGGGGAGAATTCTAGGCTAGAGATATACAAATGGTGGAGAGATGAGACTTAGAGATAGACCATGGGAAAAAGACAAACCAAATCAGAACAAAGATGGAGAGAACACTGGACACTGAGTCTCAGACACGTATGTTAATGGTCAGCTGAGGTCGAGGAAAGGGAGTCCACCAGCTTGCCAAGGAGCAGCTCAAGGAAGGAGACGAGCCAGGAGAGCAGAGGTTCCTGGAAGTTGGAGCTCAGGTGAGCTCTCACCGTGGTTACCCTAAACAATAACAAACTGCCATTCAGCCCAAAAAGATAAGGGACCTGAACCCCAGCAAATTATGTCCCAGCCTGCAGGGAAGCTGACCAGAACAGTCAGGTCAACAGGTAGACAATGCCAAGGAAGGGCCAAGATTTAGGGAAACATTTTGTGACAGCCAGAGTGTGTGTCCTGGAGAGTGGAAGTGAGCACCTGTGCAGTGTTAAGGCCGCTCTAGCTGGGGGACATCATGTCTGCATGGTGTCACCTGAACCTGTCAGCTTAAGTCCAGGAGCACGGGCTTCTGCAGTCTGGCTTCCATAGACTGGTTCTGTCTCTTGCAGATACCACCTCCTTATACCCTCCAGGACCTTGAAGAAACTGAACAAGATTTTCAAACCAGATGAGTGGTATTGAGAGTGTTGGGTCCATTGGATGGGTCTTCTCGGGAAATGGAAGCCTTGTGTCTCATGCTGCCCTTCACACTGGGGCCAAGATGATGGAGAGGAGGCAGGCATTTTTCAAAGTAGTGTGAGTGTGGCCATCTCAATCCAACCACATCTTGCTCCCAACTTAGATGACAGGTTGATGACTGCAAGAGAGACAGACTCCAATGGACAGAAATCCCCAGAGGGAAGGAGCCAAGGATTCCTATCCATGAAGCATGTTAGCAGCACCTAATGACCAGAACAGCTCCCAAAGGCTCAGCATCTTCCCAGGGCTAGTGTACTCTGCTGGGGACACCTAGCACAGGGACTTTGGACTCCTGGGCTATGTTCCCAAAGACTCCCTAAAAACCACCCCACTCCCTGGGAAGGAAGGAGGCAGGGCAGCTTCTGTCTGGGCATGGAAAGGAGCTAGGGCAGACTTGGGACTCTGTACTGTTTCTGTGGTATTTTTAGTTATTGGTTCTTTCTTGGCATCAATACAAAGTGCAAAGATTAAGGAGCAGGTGAAGGGGCTTGTGGAAATTACCTCACCCAACCTTCTTATTCTGCAGGTTCAGATACCAGCAGCACAAGTCCTTGAAGTGGCAGAAAGTCCACTGCCCTGCCCTGGGAGGATGGAAGACAGATCTAGGAGCCTGTGTCCATATGAGGAAAAAGGGAGGCCAGCATGCCCTCAGGTGAAGAGAGTGACAGTACAGGAAAAGATTGTAGGTCCCTGTGCTTTTCAGTGATGGTCCCTGTCCTGGATGGAGTTACAGGCTGTCTGGGTGGTGAGTGGGGATTAAGGATGCTGATGAGGTCTCTGTCCTCCTCCACCCCCAAGGCAATCACAGTGGTTCCTGCCTGCCCACCTCAGGGAGGACAGGGCACCAGGTTTGTGCTGTTCCCTCCAGGACAGACAGACAGACAGACAGACAGACAGACAGACACACACACACACACACACACACACACACACACACACAACGCCAGCTCCAGGTGGCAGGAAGCTGTGGAAAATGATGGAAAAAGCTGCAGCCCCCTCTTAGCTTCTGTGCTGGCAGATCCTCCTCTCCGTGAAGGTTCCAAAGGTCAATAAAGGTCAATGCCAAGGCCGGGAGTAGCTCCCAGCTCCATCAGCAGCGCTCCTTGGGAGGTTTCTTGGCCCCGGGCAGGAGCCTTGCAGAGGCGGAGGCTCTCTTTTGGTGTCTCCACTTGGCCCTGCGGTTCTTGAACCAGACCTGGGGAGCGGGGTTGGGGATTGGAAGGCAAGAGGAGAGGGAAGGCGATGGGGGAGAAAGAGGAGAGGAAGACAAGGAGGGGAGATCAAATAGAAGGGAGAGACTCCTCAGACCTCCAGGACCTCTGATCGCCCCACTCCCCAATCCCTGAAGGCCCACAGGTGGCCTGGTATGAGCCTCTAACCCCGGTCTTCTTTCCCTCATCTGCTTCAGACAGACAGGGCGTCTCTGGGGACCGAGGAAGCCTCTGCCCAGCCCGCCCCGCCTCCACCCAGCGGCTACCACACCGTTGCTTCTGCAGAAGCTCTGACCATTTCCGAACTTTCAAACTGGAACACGAACACACGGTCTGTTTCATCACCAAGAAAAGAGGCAGGATTAAAATAAAGGGAGGGGCCGGGGAGATGGCTCAGTAGAATAAGCGCTTCCCTGGCAAGCGCAAGGGCCTCAGTTCAATCCCCGGTTCCGCCAAATAAAAGGAACGAAAATTGCCCTTACCTCTAGGACACCTTTCCCTCACGCACCTGCTCCCGCTGCGTCTGCGAGCCGAGGGTGGCCTCGCCCGTCCCCTCCCTCCAAGGCGCTGGTCCTGCTGGCCAGGGCAGTGCCCAGAACCCCGCGGTCTCTGATAAGAAGTGGCCGAGGCCCCCCTCCATGCCGCGCTTCCCGGGCCCCCACCTCCACGCGCTCCTCGCGCAGGCGGATGCGGCCGGCCAGGCGCTCGCGCGTGCCCACGTCGGGGTACTGGTTCTGCACGAAGAGCGCCTCCAGCGCCTGCAGCTGCTCCTCGCTGAAGATCGTACGGTGGCGCCGCGTGCGGCGCTGCGGGCCCGGGCCGCCCGCGCTGGGCAGCGCCCCTGAGCCTCCGGGCTG